TCAGTTCTGAAGGTGGCAATGCCCCTTTCATGATAGAGCCCCATTTAGAAAAATAATGACCACGGGTTCCTCAGAAAGTTAATTAAAGTTCTATATATGTTTTACAAGAAGGAAGGTCTGGAAGCTGTACCTAAAAAGGATAGCCAAATAAACCCATCTGCTAGCTAATTCCCCTCTGATTCAAATCCATTATGAGGAATCCCAGGGTTTTAAGAACATGGATAAAAATGAAAAATAATCTCAAGTCCTTCTCTTTGCTAAGAGATTTCCCAGTCATTCTTACTGCTACAAGAAGATCTGCTGCTGACAGCACATTAGAAGAGTTTTAAAGGAAAAGGAGTAAGGGAAAGTCTAATAAAAAAATAGTATAGGCCAATAACAATGGCCAAAGCCTAAACCCTGAAAAGGTCTATGGACCACATGCAAGTCTCTAACTCTTCCCAAGTAGGCAAGACAGGCAGATAACACTGGTCCTTTCCTCTGGTGCTCCAAGCAATGAAGGAGGAGGAAGAAGGAAAGTTGGTGAACACCACGATTCCCTGTAACTGATGCTCAGCCATTACCCCTTCTGTGATTGTCCCCAGAAATCTCAGACTTCTCTGACCTTCTACCTACTCACAGGTTACATGCACCCCACCTGACAGGGGCCGTTCTAAAGCATAAACAAAGTATGGCTGCCTGACCTTGAATAGTGCTGCCCTGTGCTTGGCCACATTTAAGAGCATCTCATTGCTCCAATTACGAGTAGACTCCAATAAGGACATAAATAAGACCCACAGTGAGGGACATCTGGAGAGTAAGTATGCTCACCGCATTGAGATCATTATATCTCATTACATCTGCTTTTAAAAATGCTGATTCATTCATTACAGATGTCAACTGATGTGGTCAGAAACTGAGGTGGGATCCCAGAAAAAGAAGGGAATAAAAATCCAAGGGTAAAGAAGGATATAGAAAGAGGAGCCATTAACTTCACTTTGAGACACAATGAGAAGTAAACAAGAAGGACCTGTGGAAGTGAGCAAGTGAAGGTCCCCATCTCTAAGCTGACTGAACAGATCATAATATCCAGAGTCAGCATTTAAATGGCACCTGCTATGGGCCAGGTGTCATTCTAAGCATTTCACACGTATTTATGTGTCTAATTCTCAAAATAAGGTATAAGACAGGTGCCATTGTCAACTCCTTTTTGAAGATGAGTCAATGGAGATACAAAGAGTTTAAGTAGCTTTTCTAAAATAACATAGATATTACCTTCCATTTACATAGCTTTTTCTTCATTTAGGCAGTACAGTCTGTCTTTTATAGAAAGTTTATAATTTCACATACAATACTTTATCCCATAAATGTTATCTCTTCAAAGATCCATCATGCCTCTGGAAAAAATACTGAAACCATTCATAAACTGGAATATGGTTTAATTAATGTATAATGCTCCCAACATCTCAAAATAAAGCTGATCTTATAAGTCCACGCATTTCACTAATTTGGGGCCAGATTCAAAACAGAACTAGCCTTTACTCTCAAATTGTCCTTAACGCATCATCTTGGATATGTTAATAAATAAAATAGATTCTGCCAGTAGATAGGAAGGCAAATGCATTTTTATTACCTCAAATGTCTTAATTAACTCCTACTGCTAATGATATGGCAATTAAGGTTTAACTATGTTGCAAAGGATACATCTGCTAGATTTCTATTGGGTCATACTGCCAAGCATCACTGAAATCCAATAAAATTGGGAGGTTAGACGCCAATTCTCAAAGAATTCAAATCTCAATGAGAAAAACAAGTGAAACTAAGGTGTTAGGTTCACTGCAGCATGTTTTCCTCACACACACCTGTTTCCTGAAAACTGCCTTTCTCTGTCCTCATCTTCCTCTGAGCACAAGGAAATACAACGTGGTAATACTCGCTCATGAAAGTGTTTGAGGATATACATCAAGCACCACTGGTAAGTTCTTGCATACACTGTTTTAACCTCCTTTGGTTCAGAGCCCTGGAAGGGAAGTTATGGTGATATGTGCTGATCTACCTGGACTTCATGAGGACCAAATGCAGAGACCAGGTCAGGAAGGCAGGGCCATTTTAGAAGCTAACTCCTATGGTGGATAAAGATGGCCACTCCCTTTAAAAGAAGGGCCAGACTCCAGAAGTGGAGTCTATTTTCCCTTCTCTTGAATCTGAGTTGGGCCTCTGTCTAGCTTTATACAAAAGAATGCAGCAGATGGGGAACCACGTCACTTCCAAGGCCACGACTTAAGAGATTTGTAATTTTCACTTTCATGCTCTTGGAACCCAGTTATCACAGGGAAAAGCAGCAGTCACATGGAGGGAGAACTGAGACACCAGGTGGCAGCCCCAACTGAGCTTCCAGCCAACAGCCGGCACCAAAACCAGATCAAATGGGCAAGCCTTGTTGGATGTTCCAATCCAGTTAAGCCTCTGGATGATGATAGCTTCAGGTGATGTTGCATGCAGAGAAAGACATCTCAGCTGACCTCCATCAACCCACAGACTCTGAACAGATCATAAATGACAGTTGTTGTTTAAAGCACTAAGTATTGAGATGGCTTATTATGCAACAGTAGACAGTCAAAACCTTCCCAAAGCATCTTAGAGACCCAGGTTGAAACTAGTTCCTGCTTGCTACAGCCTTTTCCAGGACAAGTCATGACAGATTCAGAAACATGAAGGTGGCTAGGATGGGACTGAGATGCACACTTTCCAACAGGGCGGCCCTGAGCCAGACTGACTAAGTCTGAATCCTGGCTTTGCCTTTTACTAGATAGGTACCTAGTAGAAGTTACTTAACTTTACTGTGCCTCAGTTTCCTTTTGAGTAAAATAGAAATATTCCTCACCTCTTAGATTTGTCATGAAGATTAAATATCCGTATCCATATACGTAAAACGTTTAGAACAGTGCGTGGCAAAGTATTTGTGAATATTATTATTTGTTCTCTGTTCTGGTCTACATCCAAGAAACCACCTGCTCACAAGGGATTGGCCTCACACAGATACAAGTGTATCTGATGTAGTCCTGGAAAGTTATTTCATTTCCAGCATGTTCTGAGCTATCATCATCACATTCGTATCAACTTTGTTTCTACATATGATTTTGTAGGTCACTACAACAATCAGATCAGGTTACAGGTAATAGTAGTATTTACAGATGTCATAATAAAATTAATCCTAAATATGCTAGTAGTACTGGATTAGTTTTTGGGTTTTAGTTCTTTTTTGGGGAAAAGGAAAATCATATGCATAGTTTGGGGAGTTACTTCTTAAAAAATAACTATGGAATCTTTTTTAAATGAAGCAAGAGACAGTAGTAACCAATTCCTTTTGCTATAGGATTAAAATTAGTAAATACTATTTTTCCCCAGCTCTTTATCTCTTCTTTATTTTAAAATGTCCACCAAGTACTTATCTCTATTTACTTCAAAATTAATCATCCCAAATGAATTAACATATAGTTGCCATAAGCTCAAGCTTTTGAAATAATCTTCTGTTTCAGCCAATGAGCGTCTGCCTATAGCTCTTCTCATGGAACTTTTCTCTAGAGCCCAAAACTCTCTCATTTCTTATCTTCCCACATCCTTCTATAGATAAAACTGTTGTAGATCCAGTTATACTACCTATATGCTGTCTTTGAAAATGGTTTCATCTATTTTTCAAGACAACTATGATGGATTCATAAATTGATACCCAAGAAGTTCAATCAGAGGTTCTGGGAAAAGGTGTCAGGTTTGTGCCTGTCTTCAGCATGATAATATCACTCATCCATATTATTTATGCTTTCTCTTTCCAAATTACTCATAAGCCCTAGGTCAGCTTGAGAAATACATATTTTCATTTTGTGCTTGCTAATCATGCATTAAATGGAGACTATCAGAGATGCAAATTAATTGCAAACTATATAAAGGATGCAAAAATTCTAAACTATGAAATTTAAATTCTTAATGCACTAGTAATTCAACTTCCAGGTTCCTTCCGCAAACACTAATAGTTCCACCTATATTACATTGCTGAATAAAAACCAAACTGGGTGATTTAGATAGCAACAAGGAACACGAGAGTTTATTACATTTTCCCCTCCCAGCTTCGCAATTCCCTATTCTTTTTCCTTCCATCATTCCTTTGCCTCTGTTTTGAACCCTATTCTTTTATTTCTACTTAACTTCAGCCTACCAGATAACATTAATTACACATTATTCTGCTTTTCCTTAAGATGGCATTCCTAATATTGTATATTCTACCTGTCTGTTCAAAGAACCTGAATCTGTTTCACAATAAATTTTAGGCCTATTTTCCAGGGCATTTGTAGATTTATGTGTATTGTGTTATTATGTGATTAACACAAAAAGTTTAAGAAAATGTAAGAATACTATTTCAGTAGTATTATTGAGAGTAACTGTTGCGATTACTTCTGCATCCACTATGTAGCTGAACACAGCAAAGAAGAAAATCAGCAAAAATTTAACTGCGAAAGAACATCATATGAAAAAGAAAGCCTGGTTAAGTGGAAAGAGCATTCAGATTAGAACTAATAGGTTCAACCAAAATTTTCATACCAGTAAAGTTTTGCTTTACTTGTATCTGTTCTCCATAAATGGAGCCCACTAGAGCTTAAACGCTTAAGTTAACAAAATATTAATAAAATCAACTGTGTAACATTTCTAATGAATAAAATTGATGTAAGTGGGGTTATAAGTCATCTTACCAACTTGCCTTTTTAGAAAAAAGATGGGTATCGTTTTATCAATAAGTAAAAAATTAATGAAGGAAACCATTTAATTAAAATGTCTTTTGAGTTTCTCAGATAAAACGTCATGGCTTTCTCAAAACACATGTTTACAAATTCTAAATCTTGGTTTTAATGTAATTTGCACAAAATGTTTTTAAGTAGCATAAGTAAATATCCTTAGTAATAACTAAGCTTAAGTGCATTCATGTTAACAAAATTATTTCAGGAAAAATAAATGTTGAAACTGCTTACCTGGCAAGGTTGTTTCATTTTAATGGCTATAACATGGTATCTATAGCAGCAGAGTTCACAGGTCCAGGAACCTCTCTCACTGATCCACTTTAGCAGGCACAGCTGATGTGTATACCGAACTGACCCATCACATCGGCAGGGATTCAACAGCTCACCCTAAAAAGAAAACAACTCAGTGTGAATATTTGTGTCTGTGGCTGTATTTTAAAAACCTAATGCTTCCTTTCTTTTCTTTCAAAGCCATTTACTCAGGATACAGCATCAGGCTCTATCCTAGGAAATGAAATTAAAATTTTATACCTCTGATGGGAATGAAACTAAAGTCTTAAAACTATTTCAAAGATATTACTTACAGTTATGACATAAATGTTCTACCAACATACAAAATGTCTGCAAGATATAGCTCCCAATACCCGTGGGGGAAGGCTGTACTATTAAATCTCTTTAATAACTTTTAAGTGGATGGTCAGATGCATTTCCTCTGCAGTTATTCTTAATCATTGCTAAAGAAGAAACGCACGGCATCCCAGAAAGCGGCATTATGCTTTTATTTTTCTAAATGTAGCATCATAAATATTGACTTAGGGCACTATATTCCTGAAAGCCTGCATATTCTTATGCAATTTCCTTACTTTTAAAAACATTACACCTAATGTTTTCTCAGACCACACATTTGTAAGGGACATATGCTATCCTTTCCTCTGCATGATTACTCTCACATAAGTTTGCATGCACCTACAATGGTGTTTATAATTTTAGGATTGTGTTGCTGACAAAATATAACGTACATTGTTGGCATAATTGCCTTTCTTTCAAAGTCCATTCCTATTTCTCTTGTAAAAACTATCACATGCTTTTCATATCCATGAGATTAAGTCACCCAAATTTGCAATAAGGAAAGACTCTGCCCTTTCTGGTTGTGATATGACATCCGTCTCAAGATACATCTGTAGAAAACGGACTTCACCTTACATCTGATAGGTTTGCTTCTAAGCATAAACCAAAATTCATCGAATAATTCACAAAAGGTACTTTTGGCATTATCACTAAAGCACCTGAGGAACACGTACCTGCTAAGCCATGAAGGAAAAAAAAAGTGTAGATGAAATTAAACCCAGTATTCGCCACTGGGACATTTTTATTTGCCTTCACAGGAATGGAAAGGGGAACGCACACTGGAGCTAGCGCTCACAGGGCAGAACCAGAGGAGTCTGTCTGGAGGCAACTGGGAGGGAGGCGTGCGCTGTCCGTGGTGCTGAAAGCTTGACCGTTGCGAGCTGGAGCCGCCGCCGGGCCTTACCTGCTCCGCGCCCTGGAAGCAGATCTTGCAGATGGGCTGGTGGTGCTGGTGCTGGTGCCCAGAGCGCTGGTCGCCGCCGCCACTGCTGCTGCTGCGGCTGCTGCACACCGAGCGCGTCTCGGGCTGGTCTCCGGCGCCCCGCCGCTCGCCCTCGCCGCCCGCGCTGGCCTCAGACTCCCCGGGGCCGCCTTTCGCTGCCGCCACCTCCGGGAGGCGCCTAGGACCTTCCCCGGAGTCGCCGGCCGCCGCCACTTCCTGGCCGGCGGGCTGCAGGGGCAGGGGCGGGGGCGGCAGCTCGTCCGCACCCCTGCGCCGCTGGGCCACCTCCCCTGGCGGCTCGCTCGGCCCCGCGGCGCGCTCGGGGGTCGCGGGGGTCGCGGGGGGCGCGGGGGGCGCGGGAAGCGGCGGCAGGTAGCGCGGGGCCGCGGGGACCGGGGCCGGCTCTCCTGGCGGCGGCGGCGGCTGGGGAGGTTGCGGGGGCGGCTCGGCGTCCCGGCTCTCCGCCCCGCGACACCGACTGCCGCCGTGGCCGCCCTCAAAGCTCATGGTTGTGCCGCCGCCGCCCTCCTGCCGGCCCGGGCTCTGGCTGCGGGGAGAGAGAGCGCGGAGGGAGTGGGAGGGAGGGGGGAAAAGGAGGGAGGGGACCCGGGCGCCTGGGGCTGGGGGGCGGGACGGGGAAGGGGTGCGGAAGGCCCGGCGGCGGCGGCAGGCGCGGCTGTTCGGTGGAGCCGCCGGCTCGGCTCTGATGGAGGCGGCGCCGAATTCGGCTGCGCGTGAGAGCCGCGCCGCGGAGCGGGGGGGCCGGGGAAGCGAGGGGGCGGGAGGGAGGAGCGGCGCGGCGGGGGCGGCGGGGCGCGGGCGCGGGCGCGGGCGCGGGGTGGGTGGGGGGCGCGGGTCGGCGGGCGTAGCTCGGAGTTCAGCCCCGAGGGGGCGGGCTGGAAGTGGGGGATCCCTCCGCCGCCTCTACGGGCCGGACCCGCGGCCGCTCCCGTCGGTTCCGGGGCGGATGACCCCTCTCCAAACGGCGCAGCACTGCGGCGCTCGTGAGCGGGGAAGGAGGGGGCGGGGGAGAGGCCGCGGGTCCAGAAACCGTTACTGGATGGGCCGGTGGGATGTGGCGCGGGCCGGGTGGGGGCGCGAGAGTGTGAGCCGAGACCCGCGTGGGTTTGGGGGCGCGCCGGAACCGGCTGAGCAGTGGCGCGGGAAAGGGCGCGGGACCCGGGACTGTAACCGCCACTTCCCGGCGCTCGCTTCCCGGCTTGGAGCCCTCAAGGGCACTCTCAGGGATCCCCGAGAGCCTTAAAACAGAAGTCTCTGTTTTAACCTGTGTCCTCTCCCTGACTGTCCCGCCCTCGAATCCCTGTGTCCTCCTCACCCGCTCCCTCCTGCAGTGAGCATCCCGGGTTGTTGGTAAAAATCTTGGTGCCTGGGAGGTCAGAGCTTCGTCTCCTGAAATGGTTTATAGTAGTGAACCCTGGCGCCACGTTCTGTGGCTTATGATCACTTTCGTCCTCGCCGCATGAGGAAGCATATGACACCGCCCCTTACACTGGAAAAGTGGCTGCAGCTTTCCCCAGATCTTAGTTTTACTCACCCCGAAGTCAATTTCTCGATAACTCCACCCTGCAAAACCTCTGTGGGACTCATCTTCAGGGCAGAGCTACAGTTTTCTTTCCGGGGGGGGGAAAAATCCCCACCTGCAGGGAACTAGGCGGAGAATCGTGCACATGCAGTAGTTTCCAAATCCGTGCAGTGTGAGATCATAAAGCATCGGATTTGTATGCGGCAATGTGTCTATCCAAATTTTCACTGATGTGACGCTTCCAGTCTTTGACACAAACGACACAGAGCAGTCATTTTTGGCCGTGTTTCGTAGCCAAAGACCCAGAATCAGAAAGGCAAAATAACTTGTTCAAGGTTATAGAACTATTAACAAAGAGCTTCTGTGTTCCCTGACTCCAGATTTTCTGGTTCAAATGCCAATAATGTTTTATTCCAATCCTTTCTTCTGCCTCCTAAAATAGTATTGTAGTACATTGTGTGTTTGGCGCCATTGACTCCCATTAATAGTTAGATACTCTGTAATGGCTGAGATAAACTACTAGCTTAAGTTCATTTTTCTAGTTCACGTTTTGGCAGTAAAAAGTATATTTGATTCTTAAAGAAGACCTACCTCTTTTGATAGAAATTAGTTTCATTTGCTAGAGAGAAACGGTTGTGAAAAATAATTCAAGAATGTTTTGTCACAAATGGCCTCTGATGAACTAGTTTCCAGGAATGTCCTCTAACACTTAGCCCCTTCAGACTGGCTATTTTTGGTAGCAGAGTGGCAGGCAGCAAGCACATTTTTAAAACAATAATCTCCAGGAACTTATCACGTTGAAGAAATGTGGTTGTAGATATGCTTTCATTTTTGGTCTTTACCTGTCAGAATGACAACACAAGTTTGTGTGTTGCCACAGTCAAGATAATCATAAGCCTTATGATCATCATAAACCTTCTTCATAAGTTCTCGAGTTAAAGGGTGTCTAGATTTGTACAGAATCCCCCAAATAATTCCATTTATGACTAGTAAATTTCTACCAGGTGTGACAAAGTGCATCATTACTCGAAGGACAGCATAAAAGCTATGGGTTTTCTATAAACGGTGTAGAATAATTCAGACAGCAAAGCGGCATGGATAAAGGGGGAAAAGGCCACAAGGCTAGATGTGTCCTCTCAGTTAATTGTTTCTGAAAAATAAAAAATAAATTAAGTTTTCTTGCTAAGTTGGGTAGCCACATGAGATTCTTTCCTAGTTTCAGTGACCTCCAAAGCTGACCGGTCCCTAAAGAAGGGAAACTTATTCATGATCTTCAGTTAACCCAATGAATTTTCAATGGATCCAGGCAAAACACCTCCTTTCTAACTTTGACTACATCCTCTGTCATAAAAATATAAAATAATGGAATGCAGAAAGGATGAATTCCTCTCAGCTGCTCGCACCCAAGTGGAAGAGAGATGGAGACACAGACATCAGATAGAGCAGTGCACCGGCAGCCACTGACAGCCATCAGTAGCAAGGTGCATCTGCCAACTGAAAATGAATGAGGGGAAACACAGGTTTATTAAATTTGAGCAGATACTGAAAGGATGATCAAATCTTCAAGATGCCAGTAAACGAGCTGTTCATTCATTTACTTGTTTAAGCCAAAATCCTAGGTGTCATCCTTGACTTTACATCATACGTTCAGTGTGCCAAAATTTCTTTCAAATGTACTTTCAAAATATTTACCAAATTTCACTACACCTTTTCACCTCCATCCCCACCATCCCAATTAAAACCACCATTATAATGCATGAAACTGTCAAAACAACTTCCTGTCTTCCTGCTTCTCATTCTTGAGCTTACACCCTGCACGAGCCAGGATGATCCGATTCAGGTGTTAAGTCTAGTCATGTCATCTGTCTACTCAGTACCTGCCAATGGCTTCTCATCACACTTAGTGTAATACCAAAAATTTTAGCATCCCCTGCAAGTCCCCAGTGTAGCCTCTGGCTGCCTCTCTAAAGACCTCTCCATACCCTCCCCACCACCCTACCCTACCCTCCCTGCTACTCATTTCTGCTACACTGGTATCCTTGCTATATCCCAAGTACACCCCCTCTACCCATCTTCAGTTATTATGGCTCACTCCCTCACTTCATGCAGATCTCTGCATTTCATAAAAAACACCTTCTGGCCGGGTGCAGTGGCTCATGCCTGTAATCCCAGCACACTGGGAGGCCGAGGCAGGTGGAGCATCTGAGGTCAGGAGTTCGAGACCATCCTGGCCAACATGGGCCAACATTGTGAAACCCCATCTCTACTAAAAATACAAAAAATTAGCCAGGCGTGGTGGTGGGCACCTGTAATCCCAGCTACTAGGGAGGCTGAGGTGGGAGAATCACTTGAACCCGGGAGATGGACGTTGCAGTGAGCAGAGGTCATGCCTTTGCACTCCAGCCCGGGTGATAAGAGCAAGACTTTATCTCAAAAAAAAAAAAAACAAAACAAAACAAAACAAAAAGCCTGCCATAACCTTTCCATCTGATAGAGAATTTTCCACTCTCATTGTCCCAGTTTTTTCATCTCACCTTACTACTCGACATTATATATGGACATATTGTGCGTATTTTGCTTGCCTAATGGTGTTAGTCATTTGTTGCCATGTCTAAGTGAGGTCAGTGTCTCAGATCACCTTGATTTCATGTTCACCAAAGACATCAGAAATTCCAGCATTTGTCAGTTCTACCCTTAAGTTTGGTACCATTTTTTCTGCCAATCTTTCTAGCTTTGCCTCCTGCTTCTCTCATTGTTTTCTGTCCCTGCTGGTTCTTCCACTCATATGGGCTTCCAAATCTAAGTCAGCCGGCCAGTCCCCTCTCTTCCCTTACTGAGAAGAGAAGTAGACATAAACATGTCACTTAGCTTGAGTTCTAGTCAGAGGATTAAAAGTGTTATACAAGTACAGAGATATAAGAGTTCTGCAGAAGAAGTATGATTTATTATAAGAAAGTTCCTCAGAGTGGGTCATTTGAGCTGGGATTTGAAGGCTACATAGGAGTATGTCAGGTGTGCTTCATATCAGCAATAACAACATCAAAGGAACAGAAAAACTGCTGTCGTTGTTAAAGTGACCCTATCTCTACAAAAACTGCAAAATTTAACCATGGGTGGTGACACACCCCTGTGGTCCCAGCTACTTAGGGGTGTTGAGGTGGGAGGATGACTTGAGCCCAGGAGGTTGAGTGTGCAGTGAGCTGTGATTGTACCACTGCACTCCAGCCTGAGTGACAGAGCAAGACCCTGTCTCCAAAAAAAAAGAAAAAAAAAAGGAGATAGTGACATAAAAGTATAAGTGATAAGTAGGACAAACCTACCACGTATTGAAATAATAGAAGACAATCACCTTTTGCTGGAAAACATCACTGCAAGAAGAATTTCATCCGTATAATTACCGAGAAGTCACTATTCCATGAAATGCAACCTAGAGCCACCGAAGTACCAAGAAATAAGCAAACTGGCCTCTAAAAGACCACCACAGCCCACCCCACACAATCACATAAAAATCCACTTACTAATGCTTCCACTTTCCAGTGAGATCGCTAGATATGCTCTATCTGACTTTAAATATAATCCTAATAAATACACTCACCTAATTTTCCTGTCCACAGCAAATTACAAAGAACAAATCTGCAAATGTAAACAGAGTAGCAGCATTATGAAATAACAGCTAACATTCCTGCCCTTGCCCCAAAGAAAGCAGACCCAATAATTTTAAAACCTCAGCAGGAAGCATTCATTTAAGAACAAACAGCTCTATACACAGCTGAGTAGCCACTGGAGGCATTATTTTGCCTTATATCCTGTACAATCACTGATGTTCATCATGCATTTGAGTCTCCAAGAAAAGTTTAGAGCTGGTTGATTGAATAGTAAAAGATGATGAGAGGCTTGTTCAGGAATTCCCTTTCAATATGGTTAATTGCACATTTTTCCCATGTAAAATAACCAGATTAAAACGTTTTCTCATACCATACTCCCCTCCTTCCACCTCCAAGCTTTGGTGGGTGCTCCTGTTAGACCTTACAGTGCCCCTGTGAGTATGCACCCTCACCACCCTCCTCCAGCCGACTGTAAGTCACTTGAGGGCAAGTCATTTATATTCATGTAACATTTATAGTTTGTCCCCAGTGCTTAGTACGAATGCCTTGGCACATAATGGATATTCAAAAAGGATTTATATAATGGACAAAGGAAAATGAAGTGATTGTAACACTTTTAAAGAAGATTTATATTAAAAATGAATGAGCTTCCCACTACACAAACAATTCTTTTGCACTTACCAATGAAAACAAAAATTGATTGATCATTTACTAGGTCAGGCAGTGTTCCAAGCGTTTCACACATGTGGATTTAATCCTCACCACAGTGCTATGAAGTAGGCACTATTATGTTCCCTATACCAAAGAGGACAGTGAGGCCCAGACAATGTGCTGTGCCCAGGCAGGCAGCCGGCAAATGACAGAGGCTGCCTTCACACTCCGGCAGGCTGGCTCCCAAGCCCATGCCCTATCCACTCTCTCACATACCTCCAGTGTTGTATTATTCATAGAAGACGAAAAAAGAAACCTATGCAACTCACTGCTGCTAAAAGGGGTTGAGAACGTCAATGCAGCTTCGCCAGTTTACAAAAAAACTTAGTGGTTGCACAACGTTGTGAATGTATGTAATGCCACTAAGTTGTACACTTAAAATAGTTACAATGGTCATTTTAATGTATATTTTACCACAATAAAAAAGTTTCTTTATAAATCCTGGGGTGTATTTCTGTAATGCTATATCCAGGCCCTCCCTGCGTGAGTGACTGGCATATGAGGAGCACCTAGAGCCTAGGTTCCTAGGCACCTCCTGAAGCTCCCTTGTATTTGCCTTCCATGAGAACTAAGTTCCCAGCATTAGAGCCAGTTTTTAAGTTGAAAGTGTTACAGTGGGGCTCACCCTCCCTCATTTTCCACCTGAGTACCAATATAATCACCTGAATTCTGGAGTGTGTGTGAAGCCAATGACCACTCCCATACGCAGAATTTACCAAAAAGCACCCCTAGACTTGATGCTGCAACCCTGGAACTCACTTCCCCATCATTAGAAAGTCAGGATCGGAGGAAAGGTTTCTTTATACAGAGATGTTGGCACTAGAAACGAAGCCATCATGAGGCAGGGGTTTGTATTCCCAGCACCTGCAACCGGGAGCGTCTAGACA